ATGAAAACTATACTCAAATGCCTCATAGTCATCAGATGTTAATTCTGTACAGCAGCTTCAGGATGCGGTGGTATGGGAGTTTGGCATCATGGGTTATGCAGCACATGTGTGATGCTGACAAGTCAATGTGGACCAAAAACTCAGAGAAGGGTTTCAGCTTCCAGGAACAATTAAGGAGGTCCAACCCAGTACTAGCAAGGTGTGCCTAATAAAGTGGCCAATTAATGTATATGAGTTGACTCTGCCTAAATGAATAGTACTACTGAACTTAAAATTGAACTGGAAAACAGTAGTACACCCTTTTGTTCTGGAGTTCTTAATTTCTTAATTCTTAGATTTTATACACATCATGATGTGGCTTTTAAAGTTCTTGACCTTTAACACAAAAGCAGTGATGCTGCTGTATGTTTTCTCCACCTGATAGCATTAAATACCCTGCTTTTTACATAACTTGCATCACTTCTTCATGTTCAGCCTTTTATTTTGGTGGTTTGATCGTTTTGGGTTGCAAAATGCCTGGGTGTTAAAATGCAGTCACACATTTTATGCTCGATTCCATTAGGCGCTAATGTTAATGTGGCTGTGTTAAATAGATGTTTACATAAGGTGAAGCCAAGCTCATAGTGAAGCTAACCCAAAATCAGCCACAGTATATTTAATCATACGTAATGGCTGGCACACTGGTTAAACAGAATCAACCTGCATCAGCCACACACTCGGGCTGATTCTTTACTCGGCACTCTCACTCATTTGAGTTAACTTCTCCCACATTCGCAGGCCCACCCTCTGCTGCACCTCCTTGTCCATCCATCCATCTGATTGACAGGTTATGAGCCAATCCCGGCACAAATGACTCTGAAACACCAGGAATCCAAACCAGCTGGGTTCAATCAATCTCACTTAAACTATTCTCCATCGCAGCCACGCTGCCTAATACTGAGACAGCAGAGAGGGCAGTTCCACTGTAATGTTATCAAATCGCTTCTGAAGCGCTGGGGCGATCACTCTCCTGCAGATTAAAGGGGAAGAGGAGGGTAAAAGGGATTTGTGTGTGAAGGGGGGGAGGAGGAAAAACAGAGGAGTAATTGTGCCTTTTATTTCTGCGTTTTAGGTTGTGAAAGCAATCGTGAACAGGGTGAGAAAAAAAGGGTAAACACAGTGTCAGACATCAGTTAGGTATGAGGAAAAAGTCATAATAGAAGCTAGAGTTCTGTTAAAAGGGGCGATAAAATTGAACCGACACAGCCATCTGTGTTTGGGCCAGGGAAAACGTGGCAAGTACAAACCCCTGAGGCTTATGTCATGACAAACTCTGCTATGAGGACAAACACTTGTAAAGAATCGTTCGGACTCTATTGACAGTGCTTCCTCTGCTGAGGGTGCGTGCCCTTCGTTCTAGGTCTGATGTCATGGGGAAAGTAAATTTATCCACAAACCCTCAGTGGTGAACAAGTGAACTTTCATTATTGCAGATTCTGTCGACCCACAAATAACTTCACTCAAGAGACAGAATGATTGATACTCTTCATCATCTCTGCCTCCCTCCTCAGCCCCCCTAATTCAATTCCAAATAACTGCAAAGCTGTGTCACCCATACCAAGGAACTCACCAACACAGCAACGCTATTGATCCACAAACACCACAGAACCTTATGCATTTTTCCACATCGAATGAAAGAGCGAGAGAAGGAGAAAAAACAGACCCCCATCCTTGCGATAGCTCCTCAGAGCTCAAAAAAGAAGGGATTGTAATAAGTCCACTGTTGCACCTAAGGAAAAAATGAGCACATGTGTAATGTGTATTTCACATTTCACAGAGGAAACATCATCCTAGATAAATGTTCTTAATTTTAGTCTCTCATTATAATTAATCAAACTGCACGCACACACACACAGAATCCCAGCCTTCATTTCACTGTCCTTTTCCTGAGGTTACTACCAGTCAGCATCCTTCTCCACTCCTGAATAGTCATCATTTTTCTAGCCACAGCGGTATAATCGGCCCCGATCAGGAAGCCCCCGGACTCTGAATGAAGCACTGTTTATGCAGAAAAGCCCAACAGCTACAGTAGTCTCATCTTTCTGTTTTCAGCAGGGAAGGGGGTGAGCTACAGCCGAACAGCACGACGGTGTTGATGGTTTCTCGCAGACCCTCAAGTCTGTGTACATTTCAGCAGGGCTTCAAATTTATCACATCAAAGACACAGCAAATTGCTACATAATTCAGTTTAGAAAAAAAAATCTGCCAGGACTGCAAAAAACCAAAAAAAAAGGTAAAGGGGAAGAAAATGTCTAAATGTTCCAAGACAATGGAGTGTTTATTGCACCTTATTCGAGGTATTTTTGTTATTGAGAAGAAAAGTTTTTAGTGTTTAAAAGCACATTTTTTCCCCCTGTGTTGACCACCTGATTTCATCTGCTGCTCAGCAGAGATGACAGTTCCCACGATGCTTTGCTCGAACAGCTTAGCTCAGCAACCGGGAAAAACCAAGCCAAGACTCCAAAGACACACCCAGGAATACAACATCTGGCTTAGTCTCAGTTTCCTTATCTGTCCCATCGTATTCATCCACACAGACGCTCGCCCCACAATTTAGACTTTGTTTTTGGATTCTATCTCCCCTGATGTTAGGGTACAAACTTAGTTTATGATGGAGCTGCATGTGATTTAATATCACCGGATGATATAATGCATTTAACAATGCACCCGGGTAAATATTATCAGTGAGGAATGGCTCATAAAGTGGCATCAGTCTGCGGTAGGGATGCACAAGTGTGAGATTACGTGACGTCAGAGATGAGTAACTGACCTGATTAGACCACTTTGATAAACACTGAGAGGATTGTCTCTCACGCTCACCTCCTCTCTCTACCTCGCGTTGCCTTGCTCGTTAACTGCCTGAATGGCGCTGTGTCTGAACATTTGCTTGTATTTGAAATCCTCCCCACCTTCACACAGATTGAATTAATGCCAGAGGAAGAAAATAGCCCGATAAAAACAACAGATGCACTGCATTTTTATACAGTCCCTGTGGAATCATCTAATTTCTAACCTCTGTGTTTGTACATCCCACCATCTCTTAATGCCCCTAACATACTGTAGGATGAGGGTGAATCTAAATGAAAAATACATTATTCATATTCCCACAGAGCCACAGAGGGTGGCTGCCATGCCAGGATGCCTCACCCATGCCCAGAAAGGCAAAGAAAGACAAAGCCCGCCCACACAATTTATTATCAGTTTTATTGATTTTCCCTAGTTTGGGGGTGGGGATGTCTGGCAACTATATTGTACCCAGAATCTGTTTTTTACGCTTTCAAAATAAGTTATGTGTAACAAGTCAAAAGTCTGACTTAGTCAGCCAATGTTTTTCCACCTTTTCTTTTAAAAGGATGCGCTTGAATAACAATGAGGAAGAAAGGATGATGGCGAGGAGTGAAATTTAAAAGCTGGAGTAGAGAAACAAAAGAGAGAAAAACCCAAAACAAAACACAACCTCCTTCTGCCGTCACGGTATGATTTATGGCTCAGCTGGAGAATTACATGTAATGATTCAGCATGTTGATCAAGAGTTTGTACAACAGTGTGATCCAGAAATATTGCACCCGAACCCACAACAGACAGCAACGCAGATCAATTACTCCGCAGCTCCACATTGTGCATTCTGCCGTTCTACCTGCGGCTCCAGCCTATAGCCTCACTACATCACAGGATAATCATCCCACCGCTCTCTGCAACGTGCAACTCGAATGTGGATTCTTGTCTGACACACTTTAGCAGCTTTTACTGCCCTGAAAAACAAACAAACAGAAAATCAATCGTGCACATTTCTTAGCGACGCCTCAGATGAGAAGAGAGGGGAGTTCAGAATTTCTCAACCCCTCTGTTACATTTCAATATCGCTGTGTGATTCATAGGAAAGAGCCACCACGAAGACATGTAAATTATTAAGTAGTGACTTGGTCAGGCTGTGCTGTAGCTACAGAATGAGCAATTACTTTTTCCCCTCCTGGGACGGGAGGCCGTTTATGGTTTTGGGTCAAAGGGGAAGACAACCTCCACAGGGCAAAGTAGAATCAAATCCCTCAATTACTGATCTATCATTTACGGCTCAGGCTGAAACAAAATGGGGAAGCCTCTGTATGGATAGTCTGCTGTTACACAGAGTAGACATGAACAACCTGCATAGGCAAAATCTACACTATATTTCGAGGGTGTGAAACGCAAGGCCCGAGTGCCAGAATCAGGCTGCCAAAGACCAAATCAGGCCTGTTTTTTTTTTTTTTTTGGGGGGGGGGTTCTGCATAATACAGCAGCATTTTCATAGTGTGCTAAAAACTGAGATTTACTCTTGAATTAAGACTTATTTCTATATTAAATGGGATTAAATGTGTAGTTAAATATCTTTACAGGAAACAGGAAATTCACTGGATCGGCCCACTTAAGATAAAAGTGGGCACAATGTAAAATGGGTTTAACGTTCCAGCTATAGATTATATATGAAAGATGGATGTGTTCACTGTGACGTTGCCCATTAGCTCATCAGGACTTTTTTAAGCCCAAATCTGAGAATTTAAGCCAAATGACCATATTTGCACAAAAGGAAGCATTTTAGTGTTAGCTAAGTGTTAGCTAGAAGTGTTAGCTAAGTTTAAGCTAACAGTAACCAGCTTGGTTGTACTGTAGACCAGCGGTCTCCAACCTTTTTTGCGCCACGGACCGGTTTATTCCCGACAATATTTTCACGGACCGGCCTTTAAGGTGTCGCGGATAAATACAACAAAATAAAACTAGTACCGGTACCGAAAAAAAAAATTATTCATAACACACATGAAAAGACCCAGGAAAACCGAGTAAACGATAAAAACGATAACAAAATAATGCTGAAAACCGATAAAAACCCTGAAAACTATACATTTCACACCTGAGCCTCAACTCTCGTGGCCTGGTACCAAACGACTCACGGACCGGTACCGGTCCGAGGCCCGGTGGTTGGGGATCGCTGCTGTAGACTGTATGGACACATCACAGCGTTTACATGTAAAAATACTGCATTATCTCTCACCAAAACTGTAGCACAGACTCTAGTACAGCTGGTCTTTTGATACAGTTAACTTCAAAGTAATCAATATTATTTGCAGTTTAATGTGTGGGAAAAATGCTAAAGACGCCATTATGTCAGTACTTTTACAGTACACTCAGCACAGCTGATTCCAGGAAGGAGCTTGAAAAGGTCATTTGTTCATCCCTCGTGAGTGAGGTGGATGGAGAGGAATGACATTTATGTTTGGGCAGGTTAAAGGAAGTTGGCTGATTTTAGAAAAGTAAGATATCCACATAATACATAAAAACATGTCTTCAGTGATTAATTTTGAATTGGTGTTGTTTTCTGAACGCCAACAGGATTTGAAGATCATTTGGTAAAAAGCGAGTGTTCATATTCTCACACCGTTCCCACTCTTAGCATAACAAACCCAGAAAAAAAGACATCTTCATTGTCAGTGGCTTTGAATTGGAATTGCAGACACAGCTACAATATTTGCTTAAAATGGCTGGAAAGTAATGCAGACATATGGTGCAATTTAATCCACCTTGTTATAAGCAAACCTTGTAAGATCTGGCATCTGTTTCTTTAATAGGCTTAAGGAGGAAAGACCTTGCCCCAACCATATCCACCCACTGTCCTCCACTAACCTCAGGTGTTTTGTGCATGTCAATGTGTCTGCAGCAACAACGACCCGCTCCCTTAATCAGAAGCAAATCTTGTTTTCAATAATTAGCTGACAGACAAAAGGGAGAGAAACCTCATTTTCCTACGAGACTCAACTCTGCTGCAAAATCAATATAATGAATGTCTAATGGCAAGCCTGTTTGCTTCCACCAGGAAGACGTTAATGCAGAATTAAACACATGTCAGACCTATCGCATGTTCTTGTTCCCACTTTAAATTCACATCAGCTGTAAGAATTCTCACTAATAAACACGTTGCACTGAGTGTTAAATGATGTGCCGTAAACAATTTACAAAATGAGTGCTATGAATCTTCTCACTTTCAAGTACTTTGTTAAATGTAAATCGTAAAAGTTACAATACTGGGAAATCTTGGCTTACAAATGCCACTGAGTTCAGTTTATTTCACCGAACCTTCTGTCCCCGATTGTGATCGTTTGCATAACTTTTACAGACGTGAATGCTTTTCTTTACTTTTCTTTGTCCCTGTTTAGTTGTGTGTGTTTTTTCTCTCCCATTCAGCTCTACAGTATCTCCAGCACTTCTGCCCACAATGATAGCGCTGAGTGGAGATAACATGCGGTGACAGAAACCCCTGGAATCCGGTGTGTGAGACGGATCATAAATGCTCACGCATCGTTGGGGGATATCAACCCCTGATAATGCAGTCATCTCACAGCGTGCTGACAGGAATGAATTGAGCCTGGAGACGACATCCTGGAAAAGCAATAGTGATAAAGAACTAATTAAAGATGGTAAAAGGTGAATATGATTTTGGGGATCTGTCAGTAATTGGTCACATGAAAGATACTGGCAGGGTGCAGACGTTGCTGCTGCTCTCCCTTATTAGGCTTTTATGTGAAAATTAATGTATTTCAACCTGGTGCCCAGGTGCTGGAGGGCTGTGCCACGGTCTCCTTGCCCCTCACAAGGTGGGAGATCCACAGAGCTGTTAGGAAGCTTCCTCTCAACAGTTTTAATTCGAAGCCACAGCTGAAAGAGACAAAGACTTAATTTAGAGGAAATTGGTTCTACAACACACAGCTGGGGGAAAAAACTAGTAAACAAAATGTAGTCAAAGACACTTTTTTAGTTTCTGTCTGACAGTTTGAAGTTAGTATGAAGCTGCACATTGAATGGCCAGCCCATTCTCATCCCCGTGGTGTTAAATACTGCCACTTTGTTGGTTTCTCAAAGCCAATAGTGTCTTATAGGTATAGATAGGAGAGGGTTCTGGAAATACTCAGACACATATCCCAACTTCTGAAATATGCAAACTTTGGGAAGTCAAATTTCGCTGTTCATTTTTGCCTAAAGAGTTCTGCAATCTTAACCTTACAGTAGAGGTGAGTGAAAAGAGACATGAAAATAATTGTGTCGACTTAAAAAAAATCCAGACATCTAAAAGTATTTGTAATAAACATTACAAAACTGTTAAAACAGACTTCTATAATCTGACTGGCTGATATTCAAGTTACCCTAATTGTTCACATCATTACAGTGGAACCCTGACTTACGGAATTAATTCGTTCCCGAGGGTATTTCGTAAGTCGAAAATTTTCGTAAGTCGAAGCACCCTTTTGAGTGAACGATAGGCTATAGGCTAATTGCTAACTGCAACAATACGTCGTTCAAGTGGAACAGCACAGCGCAAGTAGGAAAGCCAAGGGGGTTGTCACATGATTGGGAAGGCATTGTGGGCTCAGCCAATCAGAGCCAGCAGATTTCGTTACGCGGGCATTTTGTCGTAACACGGGCAGAAATATTGCCGTTAAGTGCCTTCGTAACTTGAATTTTTCGTTAAATGGGGTATTCCTAAGTCGGGGTTCCACTGTATTTGCATATTAAGCAGCATTAAGGTGCCAGTAGTGGCAACACAGTGACACTTTCTTCGGACATAAGGACCATGCACGCTGATATTTCTTGTCTTTGTATCAATATCTAAGAAACAGAGTATATGGAGCTGGCTCGACGTTGGCCGTAAAGATTCTGTATGCGCTGTATATAAAGCAATGGCTGTGTTGTATAGCTGATTGAAATTCACCAGTGATAGCAGAAATTTTGAGCATCACACTGCAGCAGCATGAAAGTCTCCAATATAAAAATCTATTGCCTAATTAACTGTCTTACTTGAATTAATGAAGTGGGTTGAAAAATATTCTTTAAAGGGGTAGAGCGGCCTTCAGACTTGAAAAGAATAACGTGCGCTTATTTTTTCTCAGACATATTTTTTCTCGTATTTATCAAGTTCCATTGTTCTTAAGATCTACCAATCACGGAAAAAGATGTTTTGTTAAACCATAAGAGCAGGCTGTTCAGCTCGACTGCGTTTCAGTAAACTCTTAGGAATATGTACACTGACTCTCTCTCCATAGATAAAATCAAGACCAGAGTAAATGTGGAACCTTTTTTAATGCCAAACAGGGCTATTGCTCAGACTATTACAGCTAATGGCAGCTTTTATGGGTTTGTGAGATGCCTTGAAGTCTTATTAGCTTCCCGGCGAATTTTCCATCCTGTGGTTTAGTTTTACTCCTCACTGGCCAAGACACAGATAGTAAGTTTACAAAGTTCCAGCGAATTCATTTATTGTTTAATCCCTCCCCGAGGAGACAGGTGTCAGCCCGGATCTTATCGGCTCTTGCATAATGAGAAAAAATGATGGAGCTGGGTTGGATCCTGCAAAGGTCACCCGATCACACCCTCTTACAGAAACAAATGGAATTAATGAAAGCAGTTTGTCTGGACCCCTTCTCTATGTTGCACGCCTTCAGTCCCTCATTATTCTCTCTTCTTCCCTGTCCTCGTCACACACACCGCATTCACTTTCAGTGTCTCACCTCACCAGATCGCCTAACTGTGCAACTTTTACAATCACATCCAGCATTGCGCTATCTATAAGCTGTTTCAGCAGTGTCTCATTCCCAGCTGAGTTTCATAAAATCATTTTAATAAAGTTAGACATCATCTTCGAAGGGACAAAAAATCAAACCGTTTTTGTATACCAGGGAGAAAAAAAAAATAACAATAAAACCTACCCCAGAAACGGAACATGATTGGATTATTTCCTGCAAATGTATTCTCACAGTGGGGTAAGATATTGCAGCCTCTAATATAAACAAGAATTCAGCAAAGTTTGAACTGCTGGGTGGAAAAACTGCAGATGGGTAAAGAACAAAGGTAGCAAACAGCTTTTAGGCAGTGGAGAGGGCATGACAGCTCAAACAATGTATTTCCTGCCTGGAGTTTTTCATCTAATCTAGTGCATTCTTAAAGGTGTAGCAAACAAGACCGAGAGAAGTGCCTGACATGGATAGTGAGCACATCAGGGTCGGTGTAGCATGGAGACTCACAATTCAGTGCTTATCGAATTTCCCTCTGGTCCAGCATGAAAGGAATGTACACCTAGCGTAGCGTGAGTTTTTCTTAGCATGTGGTAGCCTTCCTCCACAGATCAAAAGATTGTGTCCTAACTCAGACAGAGGGACAGAGAGAAGCCTCGAGGCCATGCCACCCTCAAGCTGTTTGCCAGATAGGGATTCAGATACGGAGGTTTTCTCAATGGGCTCTGCACTGTTATCACCCGTGCACAATGAATATGCTGTCATACAGAGGGATTATTTCAGCTGAAAGAGGGAGAGTAGCTGAGTGAAGGTTTTTTTTACCGGATTTTTACAAAAGATTTAGAAAAAAGGAGAAAGCCTAACGACTCTAAAGAGTTGATACATCCAGTCGATATTCTGGGATTTCACCTGGGGGGGTCTTCTGCCGTTGTGTTTTGCACTACTGACTCACAGTGTGTGTACGGAACACTGCTAAGTTTAGACTTGTGTATGTTTTCTTCACAAACGAATCTAGTTCGTAATTGGCAGATGCAAGGGGTGAAATATTGACTGTGTTTGTGCGTGCGTGCAAATGTTGCTGCGTGTCAGTGTGTGTGCGTGCGCACGTGTGTGTGTGTGTTTGTTTTTTTGGCTGCTGTCCTGGTTTCATCTCAGTGTGCTACCAAGGAGACGTAAGCCACTTCCATCTGCCTCATGTTCCAAGTTTCTTTGTGTTCCTAATAAAAGACAGGAAGTTGAGTTTAAATCAAATTTCTATCACCACACCGATCGCTAATTAAAGGATAGTGACGAGAAGAGAAAAGAAGAGAACTTTCTCTCAACTTCACTGACTGACAAATTATGGCAGAACAGACCAGAACACCTGACTGTAAACTGACTACTGTACACAAACTGTGCAACAGATGTGTCTTGTAAAAACCAACGTGAACTAATATTGAGATATTTTCTTTTCTTATATTCGTATGCTCCCTCAGAGCACACGAATATAAGCTGTTAGAAAAATACGTGCATTTGGAGTTTACAATATTGCACACAATAAAAATGCATTTAACCTCCTAAGACCTGAACTCTTCCACGGCATGCATTTTTAATTTCTCTTTGATATTTGGGCATATTGGGACCCGATGAATGTAAAAACAAAGAATTACCAGATTTTTTCTTTTTTTTTACCTTATTTTTGTTTTTAGGTAAAATAAGAGCCACATATAAGAATATTCATTTAAAATTTTGATAGAACAGTAGCAGCATAATGTCCTCGTAAGTGGACATCAGGCCCTTGTAGAGCAAAATTAAATATTTTGGTCTAAATAACCCAAAATGTGATGTCCACATATGTGGACGCCCTTTCTAGGAGGTTAAAATATTTAATAGTTATTTAGTAACTAACATTCCTAATCTTTAAACTTTTTATTGCAGTGTTTTAGGACAAACAAATATATATATTAAGATTAAAAAGAACATTTTTTAGACAATTTAGTGACAGAGAGAAAAAAAACATTATTGTGTGACACGTCCTGTTTTTCACATCAGAAACTAGATCTATACTTGATGTATTGCTGAACATATGCTTATGAAACATCTCGCAAAACAAGTTGAAGTAAACAAATTCTTTGTTAGTCAAACTTTAGCCCCACTGAGCAGTTTGGTAGGCTTTAGTGAAGGCTAAACTGGTGTACAGTTTCAATAGTACACCAGTACACAGCAGACATGGTGCTTATTATCAATGTTAGGTTAAATCAAGGTCAGCAGAGATAAATCATTGCATTTAAACTGATGTTGATTGGATTGAATTCTACCTTCTATACTAGCTTTTCAGTATTTTTGGCTTGCAAAGTCAGCCACCCAGGCCACGAAATCTGTGTATAATTTGAATTCAGTTGGCTAAATCCACAAAGAGCAGCACAGATCAGCTGACCATAGCCTAAATCAAATTATGCTACTCATTTCTTATTTGTAAGTAATTGTTATCCCCATGATTCACTGCACCTGATCTTAGGGTTCTGTCACCTACCAAATTCCACTTTAACCCCTGTTTACAAGTCCTATGCTTAACTGACTTGGATACAGATACAGAGGCAGTTTCACCTTGGTGGTTTTTGCGAGCCAGGCTACATTTCATCAGACAATGGATGTATACATACAGATCTATATATATTTATTTAATTATTTTCAACTAATTCGTGGATTAAGGCACTTCTAAAGGCACAAAAGAGTCAAATCTGATAGTAGGATAGTGTACTTAATAATATGTCCAGGGAGTGTATGTTCAGCTCCCTTCTGAGCAGGTGTTTAATATTCTGTAAAAATCTGCAATCATATTAAATTCAGTGGTTATTTTCCTCTCTAGGCAGCAAAACAATAGCACTAGTCATTGATGAGATAAAGAAAACAAAATAAATGGATCACGGTCAGGGTCAGGGTTAAAGTCTGGGTTAGGGTTTGTCTAATTAAGATGTTTGGATAGAATCTACATCTTCAGCATTAATAATAAAATATCCAAATATGCATTTAAAGCTGATTCAGACTTTGGTTTGTTGTTTTAAACAGACACGAGCTTTGTAATACTTTCCCATTTACATAACTGTTCAGTGAAGTAAAACACCTATTCAGCTGTATCACTTTGTTTTTTTTAATGTAGAAATACTTTTGCTTTCATGTACCACAGCTTTATGTTTCCTGATATTCAGTGTTTTGAGAAAGCTCTTGTTTTTCCCAGCTTTAACAACTCTCATGCTGGCGGCTCTTTCTACAACACATGTAATCAACAGCTGGATGCGACAGGTTCAAACGTGCTGTACCTGGTACCTTTTTATGGCCAGACGTAGGAAGTCACAAGAGGGAAACACATCATTACCAACTTTCTTAAATTCGACTCAAGCTAAGTGTTTGCTTTTTGCAACCAGAAACTTTTAATTGAGACAAATTCAGCTGCTTATTGTACTGTATTGGTCCACTAAAAATTAACAGGGTCCTAATTAGGTCACATTTAATAATATTTGGATTTTTTTAACCCACTTATTTGAGAAAAAGTTCTCAACTCTTTTGTTGTTCCTTGTAGGGGGACAAAGAACCCCGAGGTTCAGGCCTATGCACAATATCACAGTTTTAATGAGGTGATAGTCAAATTTGCTTTAAGTAGGAATCAACAAAATAAAGAGCAGAGTGATATCTATCACTGTTTGGGTATTTCAATGTGGAAGAAGCGGGACAGTGATCACTTAAGGAACGTCTAATAAAACCAGATTGATCACAGAATACCTTTATCTACCAGGAATACTGGGATAAACTAAAGTGAAACCATTTGTTATGTAGCAAGGAGCAATAAGGACTTCAATGCTCTGAGGGGTCATTTGATCACTGATAAAAACTTAGTTAAAGTGATTGACAGCCACAGTTTTGGACTGAATTGGATTGCAAATATAGACTTACTTGGCTGCCTTTTGTTGGCTTGCTATCGTGTGACTTGACACGCTAACTCGATGTATGTT